GGGTCTACACATCTCATTAGGCAGTGTGAGCCATTTTTTAAATGAAATTTGGATGTTAGAAAGCACAATGGATGCCGCATTCGCCAACAAAGGAACAAAGACACATTCGAATAGGACTTTCTCAGCAACATTTGGAGCATTTTAAATAGAAAAAAGTGGATTTTGTGCATCGATTCATAACTATGAATGAGACTTGGGTCTGTCACCATGATCCTGAATCAAAACAAGAGGCTAAAGAATGGTGTGAACCTGGTTGTTCGGCTTCGAAAAGAGTTCATGTCCGGAAATCTGTCAAGAAGGTTATAGCATAGATTTTTTGGGATGCGATGGGAATTTTGTTTGTGGATTACTTGTAAACTGTTAAACGATTATTTCTGAATATTATTGCAACCCTTTGGATCAGTTGAATGACGAAAAAATTCGTGAAAAACCCGGTTTGCAGAAGAAAAAAATCCTTTTTCATCAAGACAATGCACCGTCTCACAAGAGCGTTTTGACAGTGGCTAAATCCATGAATTAAAGTTCGAATTGTTGAGCATCCACCGTATTCACCAGAATTGGCCCCCAGCGACTTCCTTTTGTTTTGCAACTATTTACAAAAAAAAACCGTCGAGCGACTTTTTTTTTGTTTTTTTTTTTTTGTTTTTGTAACAATGTCAGCAAAAAAAATTCACTTTGTTGTTTTCCTTCGTCCTATCCCTGTTTATAGCTCTAATTAATCTACATTTTTTTTCTACTTTTAATGATCATTTGAGAAGTTTTGTTGTTAACGTGGTGATAAACTTATTTGTTTCCAGAAATTTTTGGATATTAAATTCTCTTGGCCGACGTCTAAATATTTCATTTTTTCAATAAAGAAAAATTACTGAAAATAGACCGTTCTTTACTAGCGCAAATCCTTGTAACCCCTTAGTTTTTTTCACTAGATCTTTAAATAATTCAAAAGTTTTGATATGTTCACAGTCAATAATAATTTTTTTTTTTTTTTTTTCAAACCACAACAAATTGAGGCTTTACTTCTCATTATTACATTGATTAGACACAGACGTCAGTCTTTCATGTTTTCTTTATAGTTCGGTATCCTCATTGCAAATGAGTCCAAGTAGTCTAGGACATTTATAGCACCGAAGACCAACTTTAGAGCGTCAACTGAGTGTTGCTAGGTTACATTTTTCTTTATAGATACATTTTTGTCACCCTTTGAAAAAAAAGTCAGTGAAGTAAAAAAGTAGTGAATATGTTAGTAAGCCAATAAGTGATAAATGAAAATCGAAATAATAATGAATTAGCGTGTGCCACTACAGTTAGTTTACAGTTAATTTACAGCAAAGGTGGCGAGTGTTAGCGTGAGTAGTTAGTGGCTGCAGTACATTGCGTAAATAATTTCTGGCGAATACCATATGAATAGCGCAGTATTAGTAGTTGAAGTGGACAAGTGGTATAGCAAGGCGGCTTCGGGGAAAGTACTTGTGAGTTGAGTGGAAAAGTCACTAGTGGAAAAACGTTTTACTTACATAAGTCAGTAAAGACTACTTAAATTTCGTATAATTCAACTTTGACCTTTTCAGCTTCACTGAGGAAATGTTAGTGGGGATTTTTAAGCTATTCTCCGACGATATCACAACTTAATTATTGTTCTTTGCAGATTTCTTATTACATATTTATGCTCTTTTGCAATTTGTTGGAAGTCGAACTTAAGGAATCACTCAGAAGTTGGAAACTTAGAAATACACTAGCGATTATTCTTAAACGATACTTGATTTTTTAGTTCTTCGCTAATATTGCTATTATGATATTATTATTTTATTGTTGTAGTTTTATTAGTTTTTCTGTAAGAAATATCAAAGAAATTCTTTAAGGATTTGAGAAAGTTCTGAATGTTTCGTAGATTAAGTTTTTAAGCACTCAGGCCTCTCAGAAGCCATGCTCAGCTCAAAGCTTGCTTTATATTAAAAAACATCTGAAACCCCCATCCCGATATATTTATGAATGAAGGCTAAATATTTTTATTTTTTTTTTTTTGCTAAAACCAATAATATACTATTCGAGGCGATCTATCGGTGGCACAGCCGAACATTGGCTTAAAATCTTAAGCCCACTGAAATATGAAGAGAAAATCGGCGAAACCCTGCCGTCGGTACACATATAACCAAGTGAGTATAAATGTCCAAATTATTAGCAAATAAGTGGACAAGATTCGGAGAGTACTCTTTTTATTCTTTGAGAATTTGTTTTTTGCATTCAGTTTATTCATAATTACCATAGAAGTTGGGGAGTTTGTTACATAAATTATTAATTTCATTCTTTTCTGTTCTCTATTTTGTTTATGTTTTTTGTTTTTTTTTTTTGCTACTACAATTTAACACAACTTTTCTAACTAAGTTTATTTACACGTGTGATGCTCATTGCACCAAATATTTTTTTTTTTTTTTTTTTTTNTTTTTTTTTTTTTTTTGTCACAAAAATATCACGCGGCTTCTGCTTGCACTTGCCATCACGCAAGAAAACTACAGAAGATCTTCGAAGAATGCCCCAAGGCACATTCGTGCTCCAGAAGGCACACACTTTTTTACCGCAAACACTTAGTAACGGATTTCGTCGAATTATGCGAAGGGAACCCGCGCCTAAAAACAGACTGAAGAGCAAACGCTACGCCACGCACTGGTCGCACGGACACTATTGGCTAAGCAATGGCTAGTGCGGCGGCCACAGCGACGGCAACGGCGGCGCGGAAGTGTTTCATTCACAAAACACCCATACACGCACGGTATCAGAAATAGTTCTCCCGATGCACGGTTACACTGCTTTAGGCGTTTGGCGGCTTTAGCGTAGGCGTAGACCAACAGCTTGTGTGGCACGCAAGCGAGTGGCGATTTACTGTTAACCGTTTTCCGTTCGAAATACACTCGAATTGTCGAAGCACGTGACTGGCTGTGCGGTCTGTAAGGCCTTTCGCTTTTATATGTTGAGTTACACGAAATAGATTTACAAGTTGCAGCACAGCATTTCAATTCGGGCTTTTCCGTCTTCAAAGACCACTTTGTGTTTGTATGGCACACTGTTCGGCGCAACACGACCAGCTTTATTGTTGGCGTGACAGCAACTATGCTCTCTTGCAGAATGTTATACTTTCGCTCTCTCACTCTTTTCGCAACTCTTTTTTGGGCGTTTATGCTGGCGCCTTCGTTTCGCTTCGCCTCATTTCACTTCACTACGCTCTGCACCGAGTGACAGTCGTTTTGGCGTTTTTAATACTCGACTTTGACACTTCTTGCATTGCTTTGCAGAATCGTTATGACTTCATAATTTTTTTAGTGCCCCATCAAAAAATGGGAATACAAAACCTCGCAAAGCTGTGCCAATTTAATGAAGTAAGTTCTTTTTGAAGTTATTGTATTTTGCTAGCAATTTGCACACTTTCTGTCTTCACGTTCTCATTCTGCCTTTCGCTTGTGATTGTGCAGCTATCTATTTATAAACACTGTACAAAGTAGAGTAAGCGCGGGCGTAGGAGGAGAGAAAGGGTCGATTGCTGTTTTATTTTTAACTGTTCACCACTCATTTACTGTTTTCCCGTTATTCGTTTCCTTTTTCTTTTCAGGTTATGCACTAATTGTTTTTGTTTACAAATTCGATTAGAAAAACTCCAAATACACCCCTCAAGTGCCGTCCCACGTGGATAGCACACTTTCCGAATATCTACCGAAATATTTCGAGGCACATTGCCTTCTAGACCGCACTTAGGCTAGACAAGTGTGGATGGAGAAAGCCGCCTTAATCCAATTTGACTCCATAACAATTTCAATTTCACGTAATCACTTTGCTCCAAATCGTTCGGATTTTCAATATTAATTCACCTTTAGCTTCAATCACAGTCTGACATATTTAGCGCCGCGTCTGGTTTATTTTTGTTTCTATTTTCGTCTTCAATCCGTAACGTTTATCGCTCCTTTGCTCTCCGCTTCGCAATTGTAAATGCAGAAACGACCTCGCGTTCGTTCGCTCGCCACTTGACTGACATTAACGGGAGTCTCGAGTGACAGCTGGAGCAATGCAATGCTAGGTAAGTGTAAGAGACTCTGCGAAACATTTAAGTGGCGGCTGAAGATGAGTAGGTCACATGCGCATTGCGGCAGTCGGTCGTATGCTCAGCTGCGAAGTTGCAAATGTCAGTGTGACAGCTGTTCGCAAAGAATCACACAAACCCATGCACTTGTAGCATAGACTTTCACGTGTACACTCATCTCGTTAAGTAGGTCAATGTCACTTCCATTTGCATGAACTTCATGCAGAAAATTCTGCTAAGAAAGCTTGTGGAGCTTTCAATAACAATATGAAGGAAAAAGCTCGCATAAGACTTTCGATTACCTGTTGCTTAAGGTGCCTTAGAAAGCTGTTTGGCAGCTTTTCAAACTTTTTGCTAAAAGCTTAGAGGCAAACAGGATACGAAAACCGGAAGCTGCATTTATGTCGATGCTACAGCAAACTGAAGAAAGCTTAAAAAGCTTACAACTGCAATAACGTTAATGTACATACATAGCTACAAGTTTATCCGTGCTAACAGATAAAACTTTTCATGGTAAGCTTACGTGGCGTTAAAGTTTCTGTTCAATTATAGACTTGTTAAGCTCTCACTATAAATGAAGTATAACATAGGTGTTCTTATAGCGAAAGCTTTTAGAACAAAAGTACTAAATACTTAACGCTTTCAAAGCTCAACTTCAAAAACAACATTGGCCATACGAAAAAATCAATGTGCGATTCCAAAAAAACAGCAACATTAATATTAGACAACTTTATGAAAAAATGAATCAATACTCGTTTAAACTGTCAAAATTTCTAAATGATGGTCTCACAACCACCACCCGGACATCTGGGAATAAATGTTTTTCTTGGTGTGATTGTAAACGTAAGGTGCAAGTTTCTATGCAATATTTCTTTGGAAGAAAGCTCTTCTTTTTAGACAGCATCTTTAGCTTGATGAGTGAATTCCCACTTACCTGTGCTTTGATGGCAGCGAAGTGCAACTGCTTAGCGCGCAAATCAAATTTCTTTAAAGAGAGCTCCTCCTGCAACTCATTGACCTTGTTGTACAGTTGTCCCTCGATGCCACGCTGCTGCGTGCGGTTCAAGCCGTCCACGGTATCCTTGAGGGCAGAGATAGAGAATGAGAAAGATGGAGATCTCGTTAGCTTCAGTTAATCTTTGTACTGGAGTAACGGTACAAATACCTGTAAAAGACGTATTTGCATTTCCAGCTCATGCGCCTCCCGCTTCAGCGATTCTAGGGCCGGGCGCAACGACAACGTCGAATGGCGATCGAAGACCAGCTCGTTGCGTAGCACCGGAGCCATTTCCTGTGGAAACCAAATCAAGTTTATAAGCAAACAAAGCAACAACACAAAATACCGAAAAACAGCCGTTAAAGTAAAAAAATTAAAAAGCAGTCTAATTGCCATTTCTGACGAAAAACCATAGAAAATGTTTCAGAGCAACAATTTTGAAAACTTTTAAATTGAAGATAAGATGAAAAGAGCTTTGCCTCTTTAGGCTGTACTAATTTTTGACTTAAAGAGATAACTGTAAATCAATTGCGTTGTTGAACAATTGATGAACATATTTGTTCGTTCCGTTCGCTCACATTAAAATCGCCGTTATCCTCGACTTCGGCCGGCAGCTGCGGCGGCGCAAACATGCGCTTAGGAACTTTTTGCACCTGTGTGGGCAGCGGCGGCAGAATGCGTACGAAGCTTGTGAGGTCCTGCATCGGCGACACGGCGCTACACTGCGCGGTGAGAGAGCCGTAGCGCTTCGCTTGATCCGATGCCTGCAAAGAAATTTCGAAAGCAAATAAGTGAAGGAAAACGCTTCAACAGAATTTCCTGAAAGTTGATCAAATTAAAATGTCGCTGAGCTTTTAAAAGTAAAACCCAAATGTAAATATTTGTATTTGCATATTTTGTGTGCGTGTCTGTGTGCACTTGTAATGGAATAACGTTACTAATTAAATTGGAATTCATAACGATTCCATTTAACTACACATTGTTTGCTTGTTTTCTCATTTTATTATTGCGGCCACAATAATTTTATTACAATTGAACCGTGGCAACAATGACCATTGCCGTTATTGTTGTTATTAATGGTCAACCAGGTATCGCTCAAGCCAATAACGTGTGCAAACCGCCGTTTGTGTTGAGCGTGACCAGACCGACGCACGCAAGCAACGCAACAGTTGCGGTTGCAAAGCCACTAGCGTTCATTCATACAGACATACACACACGTGGACGGCTTGTGTTCCACCTCCGAAGCCGCATGCGAATTTTAATTTTAATCGAAAATTTCTTCCAACAATTTATTCATGTGTGCAGCAAATCAGCGCTGACCTTTACACAATACTAACTCACCCACAAATGCAGCCAACCACATTTACGAATACGAAAATGTAACTCAATTGTTTTGTTAAAAACTTTGGAAAACAATGTGCATACATTTCAGCTAACTATTTGATAATTAATAATTAACCGTACTCTACGAGGTCAGTTACTCAGGCAGTCAAAATTGTAACGACAAATATACGCGAAATCAAAACTCCGTAGTTAGATGACAAATACTTCATTCGTTTCGCAGTCTGGAAGTATGATACGACTCGTTGTGGATGGTGGATGCTTCAAAATTCCTAGTCAAGCTCTCCCAGTTTTTTCCGAATCGTCAAATATGTGTGTAGTCTACCATTGTTGATCAGCTCTGGCTGTTTTTTTCGATTGCTTGGTTCAATCTCATCCGGTTGCTGACAGCAAAGTCAATCGTTCGACCAGGCTGGAGCAGCTCAAAGTGGATAATACCTTTAAAATCCCACCAAGCACTCAGCAAATCCTTTCCACGTGTCAATCCTGGCTTTGCGACCATATGTTGGCTTGATTTGTTGGTTCGATTTCATTTCGTTTCAGCAAAAAATCGCAGACGTTAATTCGGTTCATTAAATTTTTCACAGACAATTCATGTGGTGCCCAAACATTGAGCTTAATTTTGTAGCCAGTTTTTTTTAAGTGGTTCAAAATGCTGGCAATCTCATGGCTGCTTATGTGACGGTCCTGGTCAACATTTTCCGTAATTTCATCGACTTTTCAACGACAAGTTGACCAGAGCTAAGTGCACCTGAAGCATTCTTCCCTTTTTTATACAAAAATTTTAAAATATAGCGAATTTCTTCATTATTGTCGCTCATTTTTGAACATCTGTAACTTTTTTTCATCTTCCCGAAATTATTATTATTTTTTTTTTTTTTTTTGTCAAATGAAGCTTAAAATCTCCTGCACCTCAGCACTATATGGTATGAAACAATGTGATTGGTAGCACTGGAGATATACGACTGCAATGACATCTATTAGTAAAGTACAAAAAGACTTTTTCGGCTGACCGACTTGACCGATCACAATCAAGATCTATACCCTTTTAAACTTTACGAAATGCACTTGTAAAGGGTATTTTAGCTACGATGCAGCCGAAGTTGGCTTCTTTTCCCGGTTTTTAATTAGATAAGCGTATTTTGTGGGAATTCCATTATCTTTTAAACGAGTCTTCCATTTCAATGCCAACTAACGGCGTTAAAAATGCCACCAAACAAAAATTATTTATTGAAAAACGGGACAAAAGTGTTTGTGAAAAATATGAAATATGAATTTTTTGATATGTCAAGTGCCACATAAACCTAGAAACCGGTAACGACGACTCACCTTGTTCGCAATGACATCGGCACCCTGTTGTATCGATTCGGCGATAATACCGCATAAATCATTGTGTATCTCCTCCAGTTCTTGCATCAACTGCGGCACCGTCTCACAGTGGTAGGTCTCCAGCATGGCATTGGTGGCATGCAACTGTTGCACGTACGCATTGTGTGCGTCTATGTATTCGGTGAGTGAGAGTGGTGTGGGATTTTGACGATGCGACAAGTAACACTGTTTGTAATCCAAACGACACTGCAACGAGAGCGCACAACAAACAACAAAAACAAGAGAAAATGTCATTTAACGGTTGAGCAGACAATGTAATCGGGTAAATTGAGGAGAACCGTGCATAGGAACCATTTCGTTTTATGTAAAGAAAGCCGAAAGGTGGGAAGGAGAATACAATTATCGTTTTTTAACTCTTTTCAACTTAAATCGTTCCGGTTATTGATACTGTCTATTGCATCTTCTGAGTTCAGCGCGAAAATTGACAATTTTAGACTTAAAATGTGGGGATTGCCATCCATTTTTCTTTCTATCTGCCATATATGGTCTACCCTGGGCCAATCTGCTACCGCAGCAAGTGCGCTGTAAGTCATCTTATGCTGCGCTGCTTCCACACTAAAAAACAAAGTCACAAAGAGGAGACATGCTCCCACATAGAGGTGAGCTCTTCTCAATAACCTTTGTACAGGTTGTCTGCTTCGGGCGTTTTTAAATTTTTGTTTGTTCTTTCTTTTAAGTAAGCTCAAGATGCAAGCATAAAGCTAGAGAAGGCGAGGCAAAGCCCAGAGGCACCCTTGCAGCAAGTGATGAGCGCCTGACGCGAGCGCTGCATGCAGTAAGCACCTCCCCACCCAGCATAACGGCTCACATACGTCCGTGTTTGCGCATTCCGACATGCATATTTATAAGCTGGAATGGCGAGTGCATTGCGCTCATGAATATTCCAGCGCCGCATAAGGACATTGCGGAATGCATATGTTTTCTTCTTGTTTATTGCCCTCCCTCCGCGCTCTTATATTTAAATTATTTTACTTCTTAGCATTTTCGGACTTCAACATGGTTCCATGCACGATTTTTTCACGATTTTGTTTTTTTTTTTTTTTTT